AAGTTACTCCTCTGCGTCTGGCCTCCAGTCAAGCTCCCATAATGGTCTTCTAGGAGACCTCAAAGCCAATTACACACAATTACTAGACAGCCATTGGTACCCAAAGGCCTAAACAGATGACTTGCTTTAACAGTGGTTAGGAACTCCTAGAACCAGCCAGAAATAGCTTACTAATACCTACAAGGTACGCAGAAAGAGTGCAATGTCAGGCAACAATTAAGAAACATGTACTAGTCTCAGTTTGGCCAGGACTGACTTTGTCTGTGATGAAGGCAATTATCCGGCCATTTGGGGGCTTAAGTATCCACACTCAAAAGAGTTGTACTCTACCTACCTGACCTGTTATAACAACAAACTTTTAAAGAGATGTGAAAGCACTTAGAAAAATAATTATTCCTTCTTTCATTCTATTTAAATACGTTGAACCTCTGCTCCACGCTCAGCATCATGCTAGGCATGGAATTTACATTTTGTGGAGAAAACAGAAACTAAATCAATCGTGATGAGTATCATTAAAGAGAAATATTAGGAGCAAGGAAAGCATAAATCAAGAGACTTAACTTACTGTGAGGGCTCAAGGAAGGTTTCCCTGAGGAATCAACATCTAAACAGAGCCATGAAGAATGAGCAGAAATTAATTAGGCGAAGAAGTATAGGAAAAGTTCTAGTCAGAGGAGCAAAAGCCATGAAAAAACATGGAAATGTAAAGAGGAGTTAGGAAATATTTAAATAACTTTTCAAAAACATTAATTTGTCACATAAAATTTCCCCACACAAACTTGCCATTTCTAAGCATTTCTAAGCCCCACTCTTATACGATCATCCATAGCCTGGATTTTTTTTTTTTTTTTAATCATCCAGTTTTTCCTAAGAAAACTAGGAGATCCTAGCCCTGGTTATATTATTTTCTACTTATGTACCAGTGGTTAGATAACAAAGCAGATAAATGTCCGTGAAGGAACCAGGGTTTGGAACACAGAATAAAATTTGAAATAATCTTGTTTTTAGGATATTATTGTGTATTATTAACACATATTATTAAGTGTACACAAGTTCAGAATTTTTATAGTTCCTGAAATGTTTTCCACTTAAGCAAACAAACGAACAAAACACAAAAAACCACTATCCCTATCCTTTAAGAAAAGATCAGTGCTTTAATTATCATGCATTCACATTTCTAAGACTCCTTTTATAGTCATGAAATTTAAATAGCATGATCAGTTAAGGGGTTTTGTTTTGTTTTGTTTTTTTCTTTTTGTCTTTTGTTTTTGAAGTCACTCTACTCATTATCTTTTCAGTTTCAATATCCTTTGGAACAGAGAATCATGGTACTTGTACCTACCAGGGTGTTTTAAACACATTACAAATGCTTACTGCAGGCTTTTCCTTCTCAGCAAATTGAGATGCTAAATCATTAATCTGAACATTTTCACCTGGCCCCAGACACAGGACATTTAAAATCATTTTGTGTCAACACGTAAGACTTATTTCCTTGAATTGTAAACCCATCAAATTGCCTAAATTTGCAAATTAGCTTCAGGCAGATGCCTGTTTAAAGTGTCAAGCAGTTCTCCATTCCTGCTCTGCTGAAAACGTGCATAACTCCTGATTAGGAATGTTTATTGTTTTGCAATAGGTTACCTGTTAAATATTACAAAGTATTACTTTAAACTTTACCCCCAATTTTTCTTACATAAATCCCTGCTTCAGAAATAGTTCACATAGCTAAGCAGGTTAAAAAGAGTTTCTTGGGAGTTTTTATATTAGCTTACCATGAAAGACAGAATTTCTAAGCAACCTAAGAGTGGCCTGATATTCCCAAATGCCACAAAACATGTTTCTTGTATTTTGCAACTAAACAATCACCTCCATTTGCTGAAATTCAACAACTGGTGGAAGTAACAGTGTATTATCTCTACTATCCACAATGTGTTACATGTGTTACTGCTTATTCAAGGGGGGGGGAGTATCAAAATTCATTTTTAAATAGCTGTACAGATGTATTATTGGTTCTAAGTACAGAGTTGGCGGGTGCATAAAGAGATTTTATAACAAACATTAAACTTTGTAATGTTTTCACCTATGTTTCTGATTTAGAAGGAACAAAATCTCAGTAAGGAAAAAGTAACTCTAGGTTATAGACACATTGTATACCATTTTTTCTAGCAACAATTTTGTTTAGAAATCAAAATCATTTTTGTCCAAATACTCTGAAGATGACACCTTGCAGCCCTTTGTTTGCTCTAGTAATTAACTTGGGACATAATATTCTTATTAGCACATCAGAGATGTAATGAAAAAGATCAGAGATTTAAATGAAACAAAACTCCATTGATAGTTTTTACCTTTAAAGTTCCTTCCACAGTGAATGAATTCGAAAATTCTCAACAAGTGAACTAATACTGATTTATCGTGATGTCTATATGGGAAATATTTTTCACCTTATCTTGGATCCATGATACGTATTTAGTAAAGCAGTTCATTAAAGGAGAAAAGTGAGAAGACAAAACAAAACCCTCTCAGGTATGCAGAGAGTATGTGAAAGTCAGGAATAAAATGCATTGGTATTTTATTCTACCAAAATGAAGTCACTTGACTGGAAAAAAAAAAAAAAAAGAAAGCTTGGTAAGTGATGCATATATATTGTGGCTCTTTCAAAAGTATTTTAAAATCCATGTTGATTTTTTTTTAAAAGAACAAACGATTTGAATGGTTTATAGACCAGTAAGTGCTCATAACAAAGCTTACAGATTATGATTATTTTAATTAAAAGAATATATTGGAATATCCACTAGCTGTCTTAATGTAAAATTATTAAAGGAGTGCTTAAGTTGAATCTATGTAACATGAAATATGTTAAAAAATATTTTTCCTCAAGAAAAACAATCTTAGCATTCTATCAACATTGCAGACAACTTCAGAACACTGTTATATTCCTTTTGTATTCCATTCCTTCATAAGCCAGACCATTAGTGGAAATAGGTGGCTATTTAAGATGTCATATCTAAGTCACTTATACTTTGATGATCACTTAGCCTAATGATTAAATTCCATAACATATTCTACATTGTACACATACAGGAAGAGATAACCTGCCACTGTTATACTAAAATGTGATGCTCTATATCTTAAGTGTTACTTATACCCCTGTATTTCAGTATCAAATTTTTAAAATAATGCCAGTCATTTTCCCTTTCAAAAAATGTCTTAGTTTAGCTAAAATATAGTATACACATAGTTCAGAAATTACATATGTGTAAAAAGTAAGTGCCCATTCACAAAAGCAACTGAGTAGGACTGAGAGGGGGGAAAAACTAAAACTTAAGTGCATTTAAAAATAGAATATGCTCTTATAAACTTATATTAGTCACTATATATGAAATACTGTGCCCAACACTGCTATGGGTACTTTGAGGAGTACATACTCTTGCTCATAAGCACACACACACACACACACGCACGCAGAAGACAATCCACATGAAACAAACACAGAACAAAAGATTACCAACTTTGACATTTTCAAAAGGAGAACAGATTAGTGGTTGTCCAGGGTTAGGGACAAGAAGAACGTGGGTGTGGTTCTAAAAGGGCAAAAAAAAAGTGATCCTGGCAGTAAGAAAGTGTTCTCTATCTGGATGGATACACACGGGATAAAACTATAGAACTAAATGCACACACACACACACACACACACACACACACACACACACACAAATAAGTACAAGCAAAACTGGGAAAAACCGAATAAAACTGATGGACTTTTGTCAGTGTCAATTGTCTACCACACACACTTCTGAGGCACAGGGGAGCTCTATGATTTCTTACAACTGCATGTAAATCCACAATTATCCCAAAACAAAGAGTTTTAAAACATGATTATCAAATACACTTTCTCTATTCCAAATACAACCCCTCCCCCTACAAAAACATACACGGAATAAACACCCAAATCCCTCTCAGGGACAGAAGAAACTGCCGTCTAGGTACAACAGTCATTCCCCTCAAAGAAGCCAGAGTAAACGTTATGTCTAAGCACTCTTGCCTTGTCAATGCGTTCTTAAAGTTCTTTTAATTCCGTGTTCATTTGAATGAGTTTGAAAGATCACGTCCTATAAATTGAACGCTTCTTACAACACAGTAGCGATAAAATGCTACCTTAGTTTGAGTTCAGATGGTGGTGGAATCGTCCTTAATCCACCATTATCTTCTCCATCTGCTTATGTTAATTGATAAGAAGCAAACCTCCCTCTCCCCCCACCCCCTTCCTCTTTCTAGAGGTTGCCTGAGCTCGGGCTGGGGGTGGAATGACAGCACCACAAGGACCTCTCAAAGCTAACACTGCCTACTTGGAATGTCTTGGAAATTATTCAAGCAAACCTCTGCTCTGTCACTAATGCAAGACGAGAAATAATGTGTCCACGGCTCTGGAATTCCTTTGGTGTGAGGAAGTCGAAGGTGATCAAAGGCAGGGTGACAGGCAACGGCACCCGCCTAAAATAGGTCTGATTAAGGCGGATTCCCATTCGTGTAAAATGACTTCCAGGCAGTTCGTACGGCCTTGACTTTCAGCCTGACACTTGCCTGGTTGTGAGAAAGATGCAAGGGGGGGGGGGGGGGGGGGGGGGGGGGGGGGGGGGGGGCGGGGGACGCCGGGCCCCTCTAGCGCCCGTCTGGAGGCTCTGCCCTCTCGGCCTCACACCCAGAAAGACCCGCTAAGAGAACGAATCCCTCCACCTACAGCGTGCGCGGTGGGCTGTTGGAACTTAGGGACGCCGCCCTCCCGTCCCCACCCTGCTCCTCTCCCAAAGCTCAGCCGGCAGGGGAGCGGGGCGACGGGGGAGCCCGGGGTTGAGGCAGGCGGCCGGGGACACTGGCCGACGAGGGGCCCGGGATCCGGGGTGAGGGGAGGGAGGCCAGGGGGCACCGCGGGGACCAGGACCTCGAGGTGCAGGGGCGAGGCCGGGGGCGCGGAGCGACGCGCGGTCAGGGCGCGGGCTCACCCGCGTTCTGCAGGGTCTCGATGTTTTGGGGTCTGGTCGCCAGCTCCGCCACCATCTGCACGAACTGGGTCCGGGCTTTCTGGTACTGCTCGAACACTGCGGGGGTGGGGGGAGAGACACGGTGCAGCCGCCGTCCCCGCCGTCCCCGCCGCCAGCCCCGTCGGGGCGCCCCGGGCCCTACCTTGCAACACCTGCCTCTGACTCATGGCGACAAGCCCGGCGGCGACGCGGCCGGTCCGCGCCCGGCCTGCGAGGACGCCGAGGGGGCGACCGCCGCGACGCCTCGGCCTCCGACGGGAGCCGGGTCTCTCTGTGTACCCGCGTCTCCCGGGCAACCGACCGGAACCGGAACGCGACCGTCTCGCGGCAACGGCCGGCCCGGGCGTGACGTCACAGCCGCGGTCCTGGGCGCCGGCGGCCAGCCCCGGGGGAACTGCGCCTGCAGGGGCCCCGGGGGGCCGAGCCGCAGTCGCCCAGTCGCCGTGGCAGTCGTGCACCGTGGATGTCGCTGTGCTGCGGGCCACGGGCGTCCGCCAGGAGTGCGGGCGTCCGTGCTCACCGAACCCCCAGCCGCGAAGCTTCCAGACTGCGGCGCCGACTGGGTCCCGGTTGGGGGTGGGGGGGAGCCCCCAAGAGAACCCCGAGAGGCCAGAAAGCTACGCCAGGGGAGTCGTCTTGGCTTAGACGGTCAAGAGACGTCTCACGTGTGACCTGGTGTCATCTGATGCAGACATTGTCAGTGCAACCTTAAAGCCAGATGGTTTTCCCCTTTAATCCAGCTTTCATGTCGCCTGGCATTTCTGGCTTCAGGATTCCCGGAGGGTCGAGACCAACCATGCTCGTAACTTTAATTATACTGCTTTAAAAGTATGTGATGAGCAACTCCTAGAGATTCAATGAGAAAAGCAGACGGAAAAACAGTAGGATAAATGTCCTGTCCTCCGTGACTTTCTCCTAGTTACTACTAACTTTGCGGCTTCCTCACTTTGGTGACTTTTAAACGTTTGTCTTTGTCTTTTAAATTTAGCCTTCATTTTGTTGCCTAAATGACATCTCCAAAAGAGAGAGAGAGAGAATCTTCACCTGGGAAGTCTTGATTCTAATTATCTTAACCAGACTTCCCTAGCTTGTAGAACTTTAATTTTTTTTTTTTTACCCAGTTACTTTTAACAAAAATTAAGCACTTAGTCTTGTCACTGGTTTCTAGCTTGCCTGAAAAGTGTATAGGAAATGTTTCAATGACAGGTGTCAATTTTAAATGTTTCTCCATCAGAAACTACAATTTCTCCAGGTGGCCATGGAATAGATAGCCACAGCTGCTGCTGAGTAGTGACAAGGCAGGAAACTTCCTGGATATCTCATCCATAGAAGGGAGCAGGCAGACTTAGCTGTTCTCATATTTGGGGTGCGTCCTCTATAATCTTTAAGATCTCACCCTGACTTGGGTTTTCTGACGCAGTCCTGATATTTAGTGGAGCCGCAGGTAGTTAGGGAAAGGACCAGTAATAAGAGAGAAGAGTGAGTGTGTTCACTCGGGTCTCTGCTCTGCCCCGAGCAGGTGGAGGTCTTTTGCTCCGCAAGTTCAGAAGTCAGTGATACTCACAATCCCTTCACCTAACTCCAAAGTCAACAGTTTCACAATGATCTCCACACTTCTCCAAGGAAAGAGGTCCTTTAAAATTAAAGTTTTTGTATGTTCCCATTTAGAGACATAGGGGAAAACAGATTGAGCAAATAATTAAAATGGCAAATAAAACCTTCACTGTAATTTTGTTTTCAGTTCCTTGTTGCATTATGAAAAAAAAAATCCCCGTAAAACTAAAAGGTTCCATATTTGGTTTCAGTCCTTAAATAATTCAAACTCCTAAGCTACCATAGCTGCCATTTTTAGTAATTGTTTTAGTATGATTTCTACTTTAAAAGTGTTGAGATAGGAACTTGATAGTGAAAAAAAATGTCTAAGTCTTATACTACGTATACAAGTCTACTTCTGGAATGCTACAAAGTTTAAAAGCTTCAGTTCAAATGGTACATAAATTATTTTTAACTATAGGTTCTGAATATCTGTCATTAACAGTGTCTCTGGGTTAAATTGTATTGTTTCTAATAAAACATAGTATAGGATTCCTAGTTTATATCTGAAATTGGACACATTAAAGAAGTAGATCTTTGCTCTTTATTCTAGATTTTTTTGAAAAACAGTCTTTAAAATTAAATGGAGAAATGTAACAGAATGATTATAATATACATATAAATGAAGTATCAGCAATTCAAATATAAAATAGGGCAGCAGGTTACTTTTACTGACAAGAGAGCCAATCTATATTTTCTGACCCACTTTTCAACTTACTGACTTCAAAATAAAACACCTTCTGTTTTTCAAAGCTAATTGAATGCCCCATGATCACATACACACCTGTAACAGTTAAGTAATGAGAAAGAAAACTGTTCAAAAGGATAGTTCAGGTTTTAAAAAAGTGCTATTTAAGATGACTGTTCTTAAAGTACCATCTGACCTTAAATACAGATATACACTGTACTTGATCTATTAAACTATACATTTGATTGAGGATGAAACATGTTCTCTGAAGAAATTGCAAAAGTGTTTCTATGAAAGATTTTTTTGGAAGCCTGTGGCTCCTTTTGTAAAAAGCTAGTCATGTGTAACTTTAAATTCACTTTTGCATTTAATTTTTTTACTTATGAAAATTAGACTTAAAAAGACAACATTATAAAGCCAGTTTAAATACCTGTTCTTTTTCTCTAAAAATCTCCTTAGGGAATTCAGAAAAATCCCATGATCATGGGAATATATTCCACCCATGCCCAAAAGAAATTTTGCTAATTTTAGCATACATATATTTTTTTTCTTCAGCTCCTAGCCGAATTTTAAAAGTTAAGGCTTTATATGTGCTAATTAGATATTAACATCCACATTTAAAAAATTGTGGAGGTGAATCAAGTGTGTGTGTTCCTCTACCAAGCCAAACATATTAAGTATCAATGTGTGCCAGACAATTGCTAAGAACAGAATGTGCCTGTCTCCTAGCACATGAAATCAGGTAGGAGAAAGACATGTAAACAAAGTGTTAATTCATTCAACAAGTATACATTGCAGCCTGCCCCTGTTTTAAGAGCGGTAATTGCTCTAAACCGCATAAGTGCTTTGGAAGCAAAGACAAGGGACTTAGGGGAACCTAGGTGAAGAAATGAGAATATCTACATCACCTAAATAATAAAAGCCTTCTTGTCTTTAAGAAAAATTAACTGGGTTTTATCTAGATAGGAAATCTCCCTCTCCCCTCCCTCAAAGGATTAAAACACTGTTAGCATTGAAGTAGGCATTCACTTGGCAATTGCATGTAATCATTCAAGTTATAGAATACAATAATCATTTTCCCAACAAGTCTAAAATTACTGAAATAACTCCATATTTGCATACTTGAATTAAAAATAAAGGCACTACATACCCCATAACCAAATTAGGGGACTCAAAGTATTATCTATAATGATGAAAGCAAACATATGACTCTGAAATGTTTCTCCGGCAGTCTTTTGGGGGGAAACATCAGGATTTTACACTTAGGTCTCAACAGACCTTCCATTGTGCCATTAGGTTTGTCGGCAGTGCAAAAGAGACTCGGTCACTCCTATCCAGGAGGAGATTAACATTTCTATGCTTATGTAGTATTTGTCTTACCTATTCTTTGCTTTTCAAGTGAATTCTTTACATTTTAAACTTTAAAGTGTTTACGTTTCAGGGTTAAGGTCAGTAAAATATTAAGATGACAGTGGTTGAACTGGCCCAAAGGATACACCTGCACATGTCTTTCTTTTCCAGTAATTCAATGGATGCTGAGACTGGACTCATCTTTTCCACTCCCAAAGTAAACCGTGGTTAGGGGGAGTCCACACACGAATAATTTCGCTTCCAAAGGTAGCATATAGCACAGTGATTGATACTAAAAATGGATGTAGCCTTCTGACATAGGCACTGGGACATGCATAAAAGTGTGTGTGTGTGTGTGTGTGTGTGTCTCTTTAAAGAACTGAGTTTTCTTTAAAAATTGTACCCAAACCCCGCATCACCAGATAGAGATCTCTGGGCTCCTAGACACAGATGTTAACCACTCTCTCAACACTTCCCATGCCCCCCACCTCTTTAAAACCTTGGCGTTGTTGGACTTGTCTCAGGGAAGGTAGGTACTGTTCCTTTCCCATCTTATTAGTACAGGATACAAGAGACAAAAATGGAAGGGAAGGTGTCACATAGGAAACGACCCCTGGAGCCCACCACGCCCGCATCCGATCCAAGACCTGGGAGGACTCAGTCCCCGCACGCCTCAGGTGCGGGTCCAGCGCCACAGCTGCGCGGGGCTCCGCCAACTCCGAGCCCAAAGTTCTCGGCCGGCTCCGCAAAGCTGGACGCAGGCGGGTCTCGGCGCCGGATGGACACGGGGTCCCCGGCTCGACGGCGCTGGCCCCGGCCGGCAACTGTGTTCAGTGCGGAGGGGGGTGTTGGGGCCCGAGGGGAAGGGAAGAACGTAGGACTCCCAGACGTCCTCAGCTTTTCCTTTAGTCCACAAGTTCTCAAACTCCAACGAGCACCTCCGCGCAGTTTCTAACGAGGGAGGGGGCGCCGGGAGTCGGTTGGGGCCGGGGTCAGGCGGTAGTTTGGAAACCCTCGAGGCCCCGCCGCTAGGCCACGGGCTAGGCCGAAAAGGGGGAGTCAGGGTCGGGGGCGCAGGAAGGAAGAAGAGGCGGGGGCGCGCGGCCCGAAGGCGCGAGTGCGGAAGCGCGGCGCAGGCTCGGCCCGGCGGCCTCCCTCCCGCGGGGCCTCCCCGAGCTGGCTGTGCGCTCTGCCGCTGCGAAGCCGAAGGGTGCGAGCGAGGTGGGGTGCGGGGGTGGGGGGAAGTCCCACTCTCCGTGCATCCTCACAGCCCCGAGGCCCGCCGGCCTGGGGATGGTGAGGGAAGGGGCCGCGGGTCCCGCACAGCCGGCGTCTGCTGGGGGGCGGGTTGCAGGAAAAAGAAGGCCTCTGTCCTTTCGTTTTGCTTTCCCGGGCCAGGCCTCCAGCAAGAACCGCACCGCCACGCGGACTCTCGCGGAGAGGTCCCGGCCCGAGCCTCCCCGCGCCACAGCTGACCCGTGGGCCTGGCAAAGGTGCGGCCAAGTCTCAGGGGCCAGCCCGGAGCGGGCGGAGACC